CGAACTAATGCGGTGTGTCGCAGAAATCTGCAACTATACATGTAGCATTGATTGTTTCCTAACATTACGTCCTACTCATGTAGTTTTATTGACGGAGCAGTTCAATAAGGAAAGAGGCATCAACAAAGGTCGTACCTGTAAGTACAGGTACCATCAAGGTATAACACCAATTATCGGATTGTGAAACATCAATTACTGAAGCGCTATGTCCGTATACCTGCTGAAACCATCAGGTATTGTGTATACCTGCTAAAAATATCAGGTATTGTGTATTCCTGCTGAAACCATCAGGTATTGTGTATACCTGCTGAAACCATCAGGTATTGTGTATACCTGCTACAAATATCAGGTCTTGTGTATACCTGCTGAAAACATCAGGTATTGTGTATACCTGCTGAAAACATCAGGTATTGTGTATACCTGCTGAAAACATCAGGTATTGCGACGTTGAGGCATGAGGGTAGACATTGTGAAAAAGCAAATTTACTGTTTCGTCGCTTTTGAAAAAAATAAAAAATTATAGAAGCACACATCAGACATTGTTGTCCATGTGTGTGACAATGGTCTATCAGCTGACTTATACTTTATATACATTTTAAAACTGTGGCCGCGTTAAGTTAATCAGGTAATTGCAATTATTAAAAGCCCGAATTCGTATTTTTGGGGGAATTACAAAGGCATTTAATCTTTTCTATGCATGTTTTGTTTTTAGGGAGTGCTTTAAAGTAAAGAGTATCATAAAGTTAAAATTGTCATTGTCACTATCATGAAATATGTATTTAGTCCTGTTCTACAGAATAGGTCCTTATCGCATGACACGGTGTATACTATAGAAGTATAGTTGTTTGAAATTTAAGTATTTTAAAACTATTGATGCCATCCAAGAATAATAGGTACATCGCACCAAAATGAGAGATGAATAACCGACAAGGGAGGTTATTCTAAACTCGTTGTTGTTGCTCAATCTTCAATACGTGAGAAAGCATCTAAGTTCTAAGTCGAACGACAACACCTCTGAAATTGAACCATTCACTGTTGACTAAGTGTTACCTTGTGTAACCTTTTACTTTAATTCATTCTTGCTGTTAAAATAATTTCTCTGGCTTCTAGGCTTCACAAAAGATCCGATTCTTTTATCAAAATATTTTGTTGATAAACCATGCATTAATGTTGCATTTTCAACACACACTTTATGTTCGGAATCCCAATGATGGTTTTGTGACAGATGACCTGTAAATGCTGATTTACAGTTAATTGCTTTAGGTGTCCATGTTGTTTAACGTCCGATGACAAACTACTTCCTTCTACGAAAATATGACCACATAGTTCTTAATGATAAGTTATCAAAATGGCGGATAACTATATTGAAAACAACTGCCATTTAATTGACAATGGTGTAAAATTTAAAAGACGATATAGCAAAGTATGAACACACTATGAAAAAGACGTAGCGTCAACGTACAGAGCAATATCATTATTAAAAGAAGAGCCGTAAAGTATAGAGACGTCTAGATATCATGAACCACCACAAAATTGAGGCATCCAACATGATATCTCAATCCTTGGAAATATCGCCTCACTGGAACAATCCGCACCACAGTCATTGAGTACGATAGGCACTGGCGTACATGTATTAGAGATGATATCTCATGTCAATCCCTGGAAATATCGCCTCATTGAAACAATCCGCATCACAGTCCTTGAGCACGAGAGACACTGGCGAACATGTATTAGAGATGATATCTCATGTCAATCCCTGGCAATATCGCCTCACTGGAACAATCCGCACCACAGTCCTTGAGTACGAGAGACACTGGCGTACATGTATTAGAGATGATTTTTCATGTCAATCCCTGGAAATATCGCCTCATTGGAACGATCCGCATCACAGTCCTTGAGCACGAGAGACACTGGCGAACATGCATTAGAGATGATATCTCATGTCAATCCCTGGAAATATCGCCGCATTGGAACAATCCGCATCACAGTCCTTGAGCACGAGAGACACTGGCGTACATGTATTAGAGATGATATTTCATGTCAATCCCTGGAAATATCGCCTCATTGGAACGATCCGCATCACAGTCCTTGAGCACGAGAGACACTGGCGAACATGCATTAGAGATGATATCTCATGTCAATCCCTGGAAATATCGCCGCATTGGAACAATCCGCATCACAGTCCTTGAGCACGAGAGACACTGGCGTACATGTATGAGAGATGATATCTCATGTCAATCCCTGGAAATATCGCCGCATTGGAACAATCCGCATCACAGTCCTTGAGCACGAGAGACACTGGCGAACATGCATTAGAGATGATATCTCATGTCAATCCCTGGAAATATCGCCTCACTGGAACAATCCGCACCACAGTCCTTGAGCACGAGAGACACTGGCGTACATGTATTAGAGATGATATCTGTTCCTTCAAATCTTTAAAACTCGTCAATGTTCTACGATTATCAACATGTGTTGTAATACAATAGTTGCATGTATTGTAGAAACACTCACTACTTCGTTGTTAAGAAATATGCATTGCATACAGTATATATTAACATTAATACAAGTGTGACAAGCATTAAGATACAGCGTTCTCTGTAACTACAGCTACATGTATGAAAAAATATAGTCTAAACGCAAGTTACAAGGTACTCAATTTTCAATTGCGAGGTTATCTTCGAAATCTTGTAGAATGTCATATGAATTCTCGCCTAAATTGTAACGTTACTCTAAACAGTCATATTTCTGTTTCTGCGAGTATTTGTTTTACATTTAAGGACAAAAGTCGAAAGGAAATCGAATAGTATATACATTTTTTATATACTAACGGTAAACCAAATTGCAAAGGTGACCAAGACAAGTACCGTTGTCGCAAAGCTAAAATATCATCCAAACCACTTAGATGTCTGTCTACGAAAAGAAACCATTCTTATTAAGGTACTGCAATTAAATCCTTAAGGGAATCTCTACCCCATAATATTGGAGACCAAACTGGTATATAAACAGGAGAATAGCAAAGTGTCAACAAAACATATATAGAATCGATAAAACTACGGCAAATCTTAAAAAAGGGAAGAAAGAAAACAATTATATAGAGACCGTATGAAAAGTACAATGAGAATAAGACAAGGTGTTACAGAAAAAAAACGACTTTACGTCATCAACGACACCCGCTATGTAAATTTAGACCAAATCCGAGGAATGTCACGGCCTTATAGCGTAAACCGGGATATTAACAACGAGTAAATAAGACACGCTTAGGAGCATACTGTTAAACATCGACCTTCATATAACACATGGAAATAGTTCCCAACTAGATCATGATGGCGACATAAAACTTGTCCAGATTCTTCAGCAACTTGCATCCTTGAAAATCTTGTATTGTAAGTCATGACCATATCGGAGTCAGCACTTGAATACCGAGTCAATTCCGTGTAAGCACCGTGGAATGGGGAAGCGTCGATGTTACAGCCGAGGAACGGAAAACCATGATAACAAAATCGAAAGTTGAATTCGCTCGTCTGATCGTTGGTATCCCTTAGGTAATATTGAGGTTTTGTTGTCATCCCTTATGTAATATTGAGTTTTTGTTGGTATCTCTAGGGTTGGATCGTGTTTTTGTTGGTATCTCTCGGATTCTATCGTGTTTGTGTTGGTATTTCTCGGGTTTTCTTGGTTCTATTGTCTTTTCGTTGGTATCTCTTCAAATTCGATCTTTTCTATTTGTCTTTTCTCCTGTCCGGCGTGCAGTATTTCCCGCGAGCATAATCTGATATTATTTGTACGGTATTTTATATTATTTAAAATAAAACATGTATGTGTGCGTACGCGGTGTTTACCCGAGTGACCGCCATTACACCGGCCGGTACGATTGTGTTTATATTCCATATCTTATTAATTGTATCGTTTGTGTTTACAGAGTTGAATACGTGTACAGACTTATACATGAGCTGGACATGTTGTAAAGCCTTTTGCCACACAGAGGAGACTATTTCATTATAAGTTATAAACATCCCAATATTTATATATCCTTTTTAATGTCCCGTCATAGTGTGTACGTCCGTGAATGGTTTTCACCTTATACAAGTTATTTCAAAAGTAAATGCCAATAGCCCATACACTTATAATATAATATACTAGTATAAATGTGTAAAGGTAAATTGTTATAAATATTGTAAATAATAGATAAGGAAATAGTCGTATTTTACAGCTTAATGTTAATATTTGTATCGATAGCGTTATGAATACGTATAGGAAAAGTATCGTTGCAGGGTAAGATTTACCTACGGCTCAGCATCAAAACGTCGAGCTTGGGTTGTTCACCCCCAAATACCCCTTGGTTTTTATACTTACTTTACATGTCCAAGTCATTTTCATATTGCATTTCCATATCACCCCTCCAGAACACCTGGTCTTACACTCCTTTTCATTTTTTTACATTCTCATTAAAATATTTCCTTTGTACATATTCTGCCTTGTTTCATCGATTTAAGTTTGTATTACTGCTATGTTGACACTTAAGGGATAGCTTTTTTGTTTGCTATAAGCCATTTATTCGAAATCAATTTTCAGCGTGTATTATTCGTTAAACGTTATATATCGCAAATTTACTAACATATTATAACTTAATAAAGCAAGAAAAATAATGTACTATCATATTGTCAGTTGACATATGACATTATGATACCCGAAGAAGCAGATACCAATAATATTGTGAACAAATCGATACATCATCTGATAAGGAAGTATGTAGAACAAGAAGGTAATAAGTTGTTAAGATAGCATGGGATGTCAGAATTACCTCAACAAAACACTGAACACAACAGACTACAAAAAACAGGAGTACCTTCAATGATCACAATGCCCCGTGATAATACGTTTGATAAAGCATTGGGAGAAGTTTTATTGTTTACCCAGCGTCTTACAAAACCAAGGTCCTGCCTGGCATTCTACGTACACAATTATAGAGGATTTAGCGTACAAACTGGGCAATTTGATACACCAGCCTTCTACCGTTAGCGCGCACAATGCTTTGAGCTTCTACATGCTATGCGTGTTATTAGTATCAATATGGCGGCTCGGGTTGCATGCAGCTCGGTTTTCAAGTCAATACGGCTAGATTTGGGTTTAGGCAGTATCACATATTCACGGCCGCTACACGAGAAACGCACAAGTATTCTAACCGCTAAACACTTGGAGTACTTCTTCTCCCTACCATGGAAAACTCAGACAGTGAAACTGACGTGCCGGGTAAAGTGAGTGAACGTCAAACAGATTCACCTGTAAAGATTAAAGAGGAGCCCCCGGATGATATAAAGGTAAGGGATCATGTACTTCCCGTGGGACTTTATTGTGTGTTGGTGGAGGAAGTAAGACTTTCCTGATCCTAACTTTCAGTTATGCTTGACCTCAGCGTTAGGGCTAACGGTTCATTGCGTTTTCATGTATACACATACTAAACGATTAACAAGTTTACCTGTTAAAGGTGTCTTTAAATTTAATTGAAACGTGTTTTATGTGCTGTGATGTATATGTTTCTTGTACTTTCATTATAAATTCATGCTGTGTTATGTTACTGATTTTTGCAATTTATTATAAGTAACTGCATATATATATGTTGAGAATTCGTTAATAAGAGTATGAGATTGCGGAAATATTTGGAATATTTCTGTGAGTGGAAGACGGTCTACATGATTTGAAGTTAGGTTATACTTATTCACTATACACAGACATACTGTTTACAATAAATCAGTTCGTTTACACATTAAAACAAAGTGTTAATTAATAAAAAAAAATTAGCGAAACATAACCTGAACTGGCGCCAAAAGTTGCCGAAATGTCAATATGCTTATTGTTCATCCTCTGTGAGCTTCTGCTCTTGGTTGTAATCTGTTTCCCCTCGGTATAAACAAAAACATATTTCTCGCATATCCCTCATTCGGGGAGGGAGATGGGGGAAGCAGCGAGCACGCAAACAACTATACACACAAAGTAAAGTCATGTGCGCCAGTCAGGCATGGATGAGGTCAAGTATAAGTATATATAGACATCACAGAGCCACGCGATACACGGTGTGGTAAAAACGCCTCCCAATACCACAGGTATATCTTTGGATATTTTCTCACCCATTGGTGACCGTGTATTGTTTGAAAGCTCTTTGGTCATGTATACAGATGAACTGACGTAAAGAATTGTAAACAAAATGTTTTAGAATGACTGTTGTCTCAAATATCGTAAAAACCTCTCATAATGTTTTTCTGCAGTGTCATACATTATGAATGCTGAACATCGCACACTCAACAATGGTAGCTTGAAACACTGACACAGAACTCTCCTAATAGACTTATTATCCACATTTTCAATACCAAAATCATGTCGTGTATGATAAGTGGTTATGGGAACATTATAGGGAGAAATTGATATTTGAATATTTGGCTGGTATAATTATGATATTTACTTGAAACAAAATATCCAGAAAGAAACAAGCCAGTCGCCGTAAATGCGGAAAGTGGGCACTTACATGTGTCATATGCCAGAAACGTTAGATCCCATTAAATGTGTGTCACCGTTCTATCAGCTAGTTTCATGTGTCCGTAACTCTATCTATATCGAACTGTCAGAGAGTCATTTTTAAAGGAAAAAAAATATTTGATATGTTTTACCTCTTGTGTTTAATTAGTAAACTTTATAAAACTTCCTTTACACGAGAATATGTTAGTATGCAAGTGTATGTGTGTGGCGGGAGATTGATCGTTTTGCTGCTATGAGAAGTCCCATTCGTGTCACTGTCAGTAGTGAACTAATACGGCTAATACAGTTTAATATATCGTCATGTCTTTAATATTCCTGTTAGTATTCGGGGCTATATTTTGTTTCCGATACCTTTCTGATGTACATATTTAAATCCGTTTATGAAAAGTTTCCTCTGATATCTCGTGGCCGAGTGTCCCACAGATCGAGATAGCAGGACTGATTTCTATGCAAGTATGGCTACCATTCGTATATAACAGTTATTGGGTGCTGTACCTCCACTTGTCTGTAGTAATCTGCCTACCTTGTGTAGCGCGCACCAGGTAGGAGATCGATCATAGGCCATCAATCAAAGAAATTAATCAATAATTAATGAACAAATGTAGCCTCTTAATCGTAAATAATAAAATGGTTTGTCT